TTACTTCCTAATGCACCTCCTACTCTTGGGGGGACACTATAACTATTGGTAGTGATGAAAAGCTTGAGTAGATAAGATGAAGGCATACTCCTAGAAGCTAAAGAACCATATGTATTGCAAAGTTCTTCAATGAGGAAGCACAGAACAGACAGTGCAAGATATGATAAGTGGGTGGGCCAAGTTTTGAGGTAAAACTTACATACATTGAAATGCACAATTCTTTTTTTTTTTTAGAGTTTTTTAAAAAAATGCCTTTAATGAAAAATGTAAAAATAGAATACTGCAATCCTTGAAATATGAATTGTATGTTCAGAAAGTCTTAAGAGATTCCCAATGTAAAATAATCCTGTGTTTACTATATGTGTATTTTATTTACCCACAATTCTTTTCTTTTCTTCCCAGCCCTGTTCTCTCCCTCAGTCTCTGCTGGGCGCTCGAGGAACCAGCTGGACCAACCATAAAAAGAACAGGGCGGGAAGGGTGGCAGCAGTGACCAGCAACCACATGACCACGCTCGTGCCTTACCAGTGGCTGCTTCCTTACCCCACAATTCTTAATTTTACAATCTTGACAAATGAATTTACCCATGTAATCCATACCCTCTCCTAAGATTTTTGTATTTTTCCACTGAGCCAAACCGGTTTCGGCTACCCCCCAATTCTTAATTTTACAATCTTGACAAATGAATTTACCCATGTAATCCATATGCTCTCCTAAGATTTTTGTATTTTACCGTTTATCAGATTTAACAATTTCCTTGTGTCTCTAGTTTAAGATTTTTTAAATCTGTCGTGAATATGGGAATTAAATTTTATCAATCCATGTTTTGTTTTGTTTTTTTAAAAGAGTGCTTAAAAACACTCTGCCATCTGGAGATTTACTGAGAAGAACTGAACCTCAGAATAACCATCGTACTTGCTCATTTTTCCAACTGCCATGTGTACAATCACCTGATTCTCCTTTCTCTGTCCTTGGTGCTTGGGCTTTTAAAAAATGTCTAAAATTTTCTCTAAACATAATTTTTACATATGGTTTTGAATTATGTGAATTTAAAAGTGAGTATGATCAAATGGAATATTATTCAGCCATAAAAAGAAAATTCTGAAACATATTACAACATGGATAAACCCTGACAACATGCTAAGTGAAATAAGCCAGACACCATAGGACAGACATTATATGATTCTACTTATATGAGGTTCCTAGAGCAGTCATAGTCATAGAGACAGAAAGTAGAATGGTGTTTGCAAGGAGGTGGGGGACGGCAGAATGGGGAGTCAGTGTTTAATGGGAATGGAGTTGCAGTTTGAGAAGATGAAAAAGGTCTGGAGGTGGGGATGGTAAAACAACAATGTGAATGTACTTAATACTACCGAACTGTACACTTAGAAATGGCTAAAATGGTAAATTATATGTTTTACCACAATAGAAAGTCAATATAAGATATAAAGATAACACAAAGGAAAATGAGATAACTTCACAGACATGAATAATGTTGCTTTAAATATTTAGACTCCATCTTATGACAGACTAAGAGGGGCGTATGAGAGTGTCTGGTTCAGTGCTCTTATTTTAACACAAAGAACCTGAGCTCAAAGCAGAGAAGCAACTGCTTTGATCAAAGGGACCATTAACAGCAGAGGGAGCACTGGACCCCAAGTCTCAGGGTTCTCTTCCCTATACCATAGAGTGCTGCTTCCTCTATGGTAAGTTTTGCGAATGGATTCCATTTCTGCTGTGCGCTCAGTCATAGATACCATGGCCATAAGACTAATTAATGACCCTGCGAATCCCACAAGATTCTCTGAAAATCACAACTAGCAAGAAACATCACAAATACCAGTATGGTTCAGTTCTACATGCCCTTGCAATTGCTCAAGAGGACTCTAGGGCCCCAGATAAAGAATTCACTTTCACAGTAATCAGGGAGAGAATGAAGAGGAGGGAAATGTCTCCGTCCCTATTTTCAGCACAAGCATTAAAGTAGAATCTAAATTTAGGGTCTAGTACCTGTGTGGGGAAGCAGAGGCAGCTGAGACTAGGCTAAACCTTAGCTTTGCATTTCACAGTTTTTATTAAAGGTTGGATTCCAGCCACTACAAGACCTGAGGCAGAATGTGTTCAAAGACCTCAGCCTTTGACCATCTCTTTGTTAACTTCTTGATTCCTATGGTTCTGTTGCCTGAGTGATCAGACCTCTGGCTACACGACTGCTTGGATTTTTAAGCCCAGACATTCAGGGCCAGCATGGACCCAGCGAAACCTGAACTTTACACGGGACTCCTTTGAGGACCACGCTGCCCTTTCGTTCCCACCCATACCCTCCCCCAGGCTGAGCCTGCTGAGGTCCAGGCTCCTTACCACCAACTCATATTTGTCTGAGAAAGTAAAACTCCACTTTCACAGATGGTTTTCTCATTCATATCTCAAAGCAGGAGTCAAGACTGGCTAAATTGATATTCTTCTGAAGATACGAGCTTTGAAACTGAGCTGATTATTTTAACATACTTTTTAAAGAAGAGAAAGTCTGGGGAAAATAGATATGATATTGGATTTATGTGACGATATGAAAATACCATGGTTATCGGACACTAAGTCAGCTAGTGAGGCCGGGCAAAGCTGCACTCTCTGGAAACATGTTCCCAATGAGTCAAATGTGTCCCAGTGGCTTCATCATGTCTGGAGACAGAAACCCCGTAACTGAGAATGCTGAAGCCTCTTCCAGATACACCGATCTAATCGCCCAGCATCCTCTCTGATTACACACAACAGTGAGGTGAGCAGAATCAATTCCCAGTAACCATGAGCTAATGAACCATGTGCTAATGAGACAACATGTTGGGCCATTAGGCTGCTGTTTCTATTGGAGAGAATTAGTTCTATGCTTATGACATGCAAGAGTCACTGAAACGCTACAGACACAGTCAGTGTCAGAATCCATGCAACCTCCCAGGACATTTTTCTGAGATAATACAGGGTGGGGCAAATGTAGGTTTACCGTTGTGAGTACATAAAACAGCTTATTCTTGTGTTATTATTTATTAATTATTGTATTACAACTGTAAACCTTCTTTTGCCCACCCCTTTATTTTTGACTCTGGTCAAAGCTGGCCAGCCAGACAGCCAGCAAACATTGGCTAGATGCTACTCTGCAGGGAGGTGGGAAATGAAAGCAGAAACAAAGTCATGTCCCTGGTCTGAGGAAGCTTAACTTAGTAAGAGGTGGCATTTGTTGAGGGCTTGTCCCATGCCAGACACTGGTCCAAGCACTTTAGGTGCATTATCTGTTTAATCCCTGTAACCACCCTGGGAGGCGGTACTAGGATTATCCCCATCTTATAGATGAGAACTCTAAAGTGCTGGGAGGTTAAGGAACTCACCTAAGGACAAGCAGCTGCTATGCTACAGACAGGATTCAGCCTCAGACCTCTGTGATTCTGGAGCTCATGACCTTAATGCTCGCACCATCCTGCCTTTTCATAACTTAGGAAGGCCACTCACTCACAAAGAATACAGAACTTATGAGATTTGAGAGATTCCTGATATTCACAGAGATCACATCTCTGGCTTTGATGCTTCATGAGAGACCCATGATGCACTGGGGCACATGCCAACTTGCCGTCTTCCTGAGGCATGCTGGACCAGCACAGCCAAGAGCCCAATGTGAGGGCAAGTCACTGAGCTGGGAGAGGGCTGAGCCTCTGCCAAGGTGACTAATTTGATGGAAGAGCAGGAGTTCTAGAAATGGCATGAATTATAGAAACTTCTTTCTTAAAAATGTAGTTTGAGTTCTTTCAAATATAAAAAAGTAACTGAAATAGGTTCACTAAGTATTGCTAGGTAGAGGCCTAGAGAATGAATATATGAGAATCATTTATGATCAGTATATGAATAGTGTGCATCTAAGTAGATGTTTTTTAGAGAATTAGGGGCTGAATATTATTGTTTCTTTAACAGTAGCTTAAACTGCTCTCTGAACTCAAACTGCTCACACTTCGGGCAATCTGAGTAGGTGGGAGTTGAAAAGAGATGACTTTGCTGTAGCTTATAACTCAATTCATTAGTGCTGAGCTGATAGAGCCTATGAAGAGATGTCTTGAGGCACAGCATCCAGGTGAATGAAGTAGGCTAATCAAGGAAGGCTTCCTGAGGGAGGTGGACAGAGTTTCTCAGTACCAAAAAGATAAGCCTTTCTTTGCTACTCTCAAGTGGTCTCGGCCCCAGCACGGGATCCAAAATCATCCAAGCCTTTGCTGCTCCCTCCTCCTGGACTTTGCCTCGTTCTTCTCAAGCCCCAGATATTCTTTCACATAACTTAGTTTTATACACTTTAGCATACTTACCTTCTAATTTCTTGTTAAACTGTACATTATCTGTCTTTTCTTACTAGAATATAAATATCATAAAGGTGAGATCTTTTCTGTCTTGTTCACTGTGGCATTAACCCTGTACCTAGAACAATGCCTGGGTACTTGGTAGGTGCTTAACAAAAATCCTATATAATAAAGAGGTAATATGCAAATTGACCATCACACCCTCACACAAGATGGGCCGCCCCATGTTGTCACAAGATAGCTAGCAGGGGAGGGCAGTTAGGGGAGACCAGGCTGGCAGGGAAGTGGTTAGGGGGTGATCAGGCTGGCAGGCAGAAGCGGTTAGGGGCAATCAGGCAGGTGAGTAGTTGGGAGCCAGCAGTCCCGGATTGTGAGAGGGATGTCCGACTGTGGGATGAGGCCTAAACCGGCAGTTGGACATCCCCCGGGGGGTCCCAGATTGGAGAGGGTGCAGGCTGGGCTGAGGGACAACCCCCCTCCAGCACACGAATTTCATGCACTGGGCCTTTAGTTTTTAAAATAAACAGATGACTGAATTAAGCCATCAATGCCCAATTAGGGAAAATCAGCAATTTCATTTCTCCAGAGCAGATCTGTACTAGGAAGATATGTATTGGATCTACGACCAAAGCCATAAAGAAAGACCCTACACCAATTTCATCTCACCTGTTCTGCTCCCACCATGCTAATTGGCTTGCACTTGAAGAGGTGGGTGATGAACTTGGGAATGAAGGAGCTGTGGATAAAAAAGAAGTGACAAATTAGGCTTATTCTGTCTTCTGTAAAGAACTGTAGAAAAAATTTCAAGGCCCCACTTCCTTCCATCAGGGAACTGAGAAACCAAGGAGACAAGTCTGTGGCCTACCAGCAACCATTGCTTTCTTTTTCTTCCCAGCCAAAGCCCTGGTTGTATTTAGGTACACATGGCCTTGGGATGCCAGGGGAAAGTTGATCCCTCCTAAACTACAGAGCTGAATTCTAGTGAGCTTAGTCAGTCAGAGTGTGGGATTCCCTTGGTAACTGTTGTTGGTCCTGAGATGGAAACATGCTCTAATCAGGCCCAATCAGACTGGAGGGAAGGGTTTTACTGCATGGCTGAGGCAAGACTCTCTCCTTCTTTAGGGTATTCTTGTATTTGTTTATGAAAGCAGCCATTTTGCCACCATTCTGAAGATGAAGCCAATCCCAAGGAGAGCAGGGTAGGGAAAGAACCTGGGTCCTTGATGACACTGCTGAACCACTGAACCAACCATCCTTGCATTTATATGGAATAGAAAGGTTACCTTCTGTATGCATCAGTTCGAGTCAGAGCTTCTATTACCAGTAACTGAAAACATCCTAACAGATATGAGAGTGACATATACATGAGGTAGTTATGGGCTCTTAAATGTAAAAACAGGAAGTAATTGTTAGGGGAATAACTGTCAGATCAGGAATAGACTATATGATCTCCCCCAATTGATTGGGGATTGAAGGGCAAACTGGGTCAAGTGAACTAATAATGATGCTTGTTTGGGGAAAAAGACAATGAAACTTTAATGGTCAGGGGGGCTTATAGAGGCCTGAGTAGGGAAAGCTGGTTGTGCTGGTGCAGAATGGAAAGTGTGCGAACTACAAATGCCTATAATCAAGGCCAGGTCCAGAGTGACAGAGCTGGAGGTGTCATATGGCCCATGACCAAAGGAGGCCCAATGGCAACAAAGCAGGATTTGTAGGTCAAGGCAAAGGCTGGCTAGCACCTCTCTTCTCACTCTTTAAATGCTGCTCTCAGACGTGTGACTTCCTTCCTCTCTGATCTCTCTGCATCTTTTCCTGTACACTTGTGCCAGCTCTAGTATCTAATGACTTACCGGACATCCCACTGGAATGGCCCAGTGACACCTCAACCCCAGCACATCCACGACGCAGCCCCGCCTCGGAATCCAGGCTCAGCTGACTGGATCTCACTCACCAAAGTCAGAAACCGAGAGCTACCGAGACAGCTCCCCTGCTCTCAACCCCAATATCCAATCAGCTACCAGCTCTTCCCTAAACTCTCACATCCACCCCTCCGACCACTCCCACTGCTGCTGCCCTCTCTCACTGGAGCTCTTTCCATTGTTTCCTAACTGGTCTCCCAGCCTTCAGCCTCATCCTTTCTAATCCATCTTCAGCCAAAGGGATTTATTTCAAATGCAAATATTTTCAAGACCTTCCTCTGATCAAAACTCTTGTAGGGTTGCAGACAAGGCCTTCCTGGTTGTCTAGACTCTCTGTCTCCAACCTCATCATGCTAAGCACCCTACGCTTCAACTGGCTGAACTACTTGCAGATCCCATAGTTCTGCGGGCTACTTAATGCCTCTGTGCCGTTGCTTACACCACTCCCTCTGCCTGGAACCCTCTTCTCCACGGCCTTGTGGGTCAGTGCACATATGTCTCTTGGACTCTGCTCAAGGACATGTCTTCTATAAAGCCTTTCCTCAGTCACTGTATTCTTTCTACCATATCTAGAGTCCACAGACCACTCATCTAACATCTAACCTACTTTATTTGCTCACATGTCTGTTTCCCTCTACTTGACTGTAAGGCAAATGAAAATAGGGACGACGTCTATTAAGTCAAAGCACTTAATTCTGTGACGGAGTCATAGCAGGTTCCACTGAATGCATGTTGAATAAATACTAAACAGTAATGATAGTGGCTACCACTTTTTGAATGTCAGCTTGGCACTAGCACTCTATCAGGAAGTTTACACCTGACTTCTCATTTCATCCTCCCAATAACTATAAAGAGATTTGTCTTATTATCTCCATAACTGAACAGAGAAGAATCAGCTTAGCAGACAAGAAGTCACTTAGTAGTTTTAATCAAGGGGGCGATCTTTTTTTTTCTTCTTTTTTAAAAAATACATTTTTATTGATTTCAGAGAAGAAGGGAGAGGGAGAGAGGGATAGAAACATCAATGATGAGAGAGAATCATTGATTGGCTGCCTCCTGCATGTCCCCTACTGGGGCTTGAGCCACCAACCCAGGCATGTGCCCTTGTCCAGAATTGAGCCTGGGACCCTTTCAGTCCTCAGGCCAACAATCTAGCCACTGAGCCAAACCAGCTAGGACTCAGGGGGGTGATCTTGATGTCTAACCAGGAAAGACTGTTGCTGCAGAGACCAAATGGAGGCAAAAGAAAACATCATAGCTTTGCATTGGTGGGACAGGAAAGGAAGTTAAAGGGAAAGGAACTTAAACTCCAGAGATAGCTGATCAGGAGGGAGAATAGGGACTATTTAGAAGGGATTCTTCAAACCAGAGCCAGGCCAAATAAGAAAGCGAGACTGAATCCGTGACTAATTGCAATGGTACACGTAGTACACAACCTATGTCACTTTACACTAGAGTAGGCTTCGGCTGTACCCTTGAACTGGCTCTGTCTGCTAGTCTACTGGGTTGGGTGAGGGAAATAGGGAGACCAGGAACATATTTTTTTAGGAAAAGTCCCAGCAATGGGGTGGGCAACTGCTAAGCGCTTCTCCATCCCCTGGAGGGGGGGCGGGGTCAGGTGGCAGCTATTGCTCTTGGCTGGGGAAACGCCCACCTCTGAGATTTCTAATCTTCCACTGGGATTCTAGAAGGATGAGAGGGTACCACGGATTAAATCAGAAAGCCATTTTCTAGATCACAGGTCAAACTTTTCCAGATGTGAGAGATGGGCATCCTATTCCCAGCTCACCCAGGATGGGCTTAGTAATAAAATGAAAGGGCTCTGAGAGAATGTGAGGCTGGTGCCGGGACCAGCCGAGTAAATTCACTCAACGCTAGCTCAATCAGACCCGGGCGACCACACTGGAGATTTTTGGCCACAGTAAATTTTCACAGATATACTGTTTCTACCAGGGGCTATGGGGAGTGTCACCATATGATTTATCAGCCATACTTTCAACACACACTAATGAGCACCCAGAGAGCGAAGGGAATGTCAATCCCGGTCCATCGCCATACTGCAAACATTAACGCCTCCCTGGAGAGGCCACTCGATCTTTTCTTGACAAACTGGAAACTGAAGCTGACGCCATAGCCACTCCATAATTGTTGTTCCTTAGGGATTTATTTGTGAGGGAGAAGAAAAGCCTTAATTGAATACAAACAGGGAGATATTTGGGGAGGACAGAAACTTGGAGTCCGAAATCATCCTTCGGGACTTGGATGAGAACAACCCAAATACAGTAGCTTGGACTGGGCTGACCTTCCTGAAGCCCTTTCCTGAGAAGTTTGCCAAAGTGCTTGTTTGATAATTGGTCAGAGGAGGCACTGACCCTCTACGTTATCTGGTCTCGGGGGAAACAGCGCTACAGCCAGACGCTGACTAAACTATTTCCCTGCTTCAACACACCAAGCCGAAATGGCCGCACCCCAGGATGCGGTAGGAAGGCATCAGCTCAGTGCTTGTTCCCTGACTCTCCCGTCCTAATTTCTAGTACCTTCCCTGGACTCAAGGACATCCACAAGTGGATGAATTCTGGAGCCACAGTAATAGCTACTATGAGGGAGGAAGAGAAGAGTCAAAAGAAACAGAACTGATGGTTCCTACCCTTAAAAAGCTTATAATCTCATTGGGGAGACAAAATGTATATATGAAATCACTGAAAAAGAATTTTAATTATTCAAACCAGGGGGTGGGGACGTAGTTATTTCCACATAATTCCAAATGACAGGATCCCCTCATCACATTTCTATTTGCCTTGACGTGGTTGGTGATCACATTGCTGTTCCTGTTATCTATGACTTTAGTGGATTTATTACTATGCTTCTTTTGGGTACAAAAAAATTAGTTTGCCTGCCGCAACCAGAATAAGCCCTAGCTGGAGGTGGGGACACCTGGATCATGAGCATGGCCCCAAACAACCCAGTGATGAGAATGCTCCCGGACTTACTTTGCAAATTTAATGCAGAACTGAGTGAAGTATTTCCGTGTTGAAGCCAGGTTGTCACGGATGATGGGCACGTTCTGCTTAATGTGAAGAATGACAGAGGTGACATAGGGGCTCTGGTCACCAACGTGCTCTACGTTCTGCCACTGCATCTGAAAACAAAGACAGGACGGGACAAGCCTTTAGATGCCTCACAGGAGGACAGCCTTACCTGTTCCCAGGGAAGGGGCCCGGGAGTGGAAATGAGGCCACAGCTTGCTATCACGGCTGCCATTTTGTTTCGGGGAACATGTCTTACCCGACTGGTAGTGGCTCACTGTGAATCAAAACAAGTGCGCCCACCTTATCTTTGACAGCAAGGTGTGACTCAGGCATCTTTTCCATCCCTGTCCTCCTCATGCTTGAAGCAGCCTCCCTTCCCATCTAAGTGGCTAGAAACCCGCACCAGGCAGGTGGCCTGGATCCTATTCTTCTGTCAGCTGTTCCACCAGAAGGGACTGTGGGAGGGAGGGGAGGCACATCCACCTCTGCGCAGACTGGGGGCCTGGGAGGCCAGAAAGGTGCTGGGATGACAGTTAACTTATGCCTTTCTCTCAAGCAAACTGGGAGGAGTTCTTAAAATTAACTTTATAGAAAGAGAGAGAGAGAGAGAGAGAGAGAGAGAGAGAGAGAGGAGAAATATCACATCGATTGGTTGCCTCCCATAAGCACTCCAACTGGGGATCAAACCCACAACCTGGGTATGCACCCTGACTGAAAATCAAACCCACCACCTTCGGTGCATGGGATGATGCTCAACCAACTGAGTGGCACCAGTTGGACAGGAGTTTTTTAAAAAAAGGAAAAACCAGAAATGATATGTGATGTGAGAATTGCTTCCAAATAACCTGGGGTTGGAAGGAGTAGATGAAACAAGATTGGTGAAGCTGGGTGACGGGTACACGAGGTTCAATATACTGTCTTCTCTACTACTGTGTATCAGTGACATTTTCCACAATAACACATTCAGATTCTTACGCCTAAAACCTTTGGGGTTATGCTGGGATTGCAACCAAAGAAAAGGAGAGGGCTCCCTGGCAACCCGAGAGCAGGTCAGAGGGCAAGACAGTGACGGGAACAGGCAGGAAAGGCCCAGGGACTGTGTGGATAGCAAGGGCGGGAGAGAGGCGGGTCACTGAGAGGACTGAGGTGGTCCTAATCAGGCTGTGGACCAAATGAGACCTGCTCTGCTCAAGCTCCAACAGCCTGAGGAGAAGCAGGGAAAACATCTACAATAAGACGGAAGAAGAGCCCTAGCTGGTTTGGCTCAGTGGATAGAGTGTTGGCCTGCAGACTGAAGGGAACCGGGTTGGATTCCCATCAAGAGCACATGCCCGGGTTACAGGCTCGATCTCCCTAGGGCAATGGTTCTCAACCTTCTGGCCCTTTAAATACAGTTCCTCATGTTGTGACCCAACCATAAAATTATTTTCGTTGCTACTGTTATGAATCGTAATGTAAATATATGATATGCAGGATGGTCTTAGGCGACCCCTGTGAAAGGATCATTTGACCGCCAAAGGGGTCGCGACCCACAGGTTGAGAACCGCTGCTCTAGGGGGTGTGCAGGAGGAGCCGATCAATGATTCTCTCATCACTGATGTTTCTGTCTCTCTCCTTCTCCCTCTCCCTTCCTCTCTGAAATAAAATATATATATATGTATATATATTTTAAATAAATAAAATGGAGAAGGAAGTGATGCTGTAGTGCCTCTTCCCCATGGGTCCGCACAGGAGAAGAGAGGCAGCATCGCCTGCCCGGAGGCTGGCGGGGGTGGCCTCCAAGCCCGACGACATTGGGAATGTGCCGGAGGAACTCTGCTGAGTCAGCCTCTCAGAATGGAGCTGGGCTGTCTGTGCAAAGATCATAAGCCAAATGCAAACCATATAATGTGTTCATAGAAGGAGGGCAGTAGTTCTGAGGCCTTGATGTCTCTGGCAAGAAAGCACTGTTTTTATAGAGCACTTGGGGAGAGGAAAAATTCAATACGGAGCGAAAGTGTTTAAAGGAAGTGTACTGTACACAGATGATTCCCCAGCTCCTGGAAGCTCAAGTGACTTTGTTTTGTCTTAATGTTTCTTTAAATCAGGAGATATTTACCTTCTAAAAGCTTCAGATACGTATAAACAAAGAACCATAAAAAAGCAGGAAGGAACCTCCACCTTCGTTTTACAGGTAAAAAAACCAAGGCCCAGAGACAATAGGTCTTGAGCAAGTTTTCACAATGAGGCTCTGGACATAGAAGGTTTCTAATTTTTTACTGGGGAAAAATTAGAAACAAACACTGGAGAAAGAATGGAAAGTCTAATATGAACTGACTTTATATTCTAATGCATTGGTTATGTGTAATATTTCCCTCATTCTCTTCGATCTTATTCAAGAGGCTTCCTTTTCCATCAGATGTTAGAGATTCGATCCATCCCAACAGTGGCATCCCAGGCAACTAAATGAGCTCATGAGCGAGGCCACCACTGACAGGAACTGTCCGTGTCTACACTTCACCTTGTTTCCCCAGCGCTGCAGCAACACCGGGAGCAGAACGCTCAGGTAAACACGGCAACTGGGAAAGGAGCCTGATACCCTCCAAGCGACATGAGCGCTTCCACAGCAATGACTACTGTTTTCCAAGTTGGCAGCATTTTATATTTCAACATCTCAAAAAGTGAATAAACAATTGTCTAAACATTATGGTTCTCCATTAATAGAAGACCACAAAAGAAGGTGGTGACATGCCCTGTCATTGGTTTCAAAGCAACTCTGAAGCAAGACAAACAGGGGACATGGGATGTGGGACTTCAAGTTCCTGCTGGTGAACTAACTTCTCTCTTTTTAAAAATCTTTTTAAAAATATCTTTTATTAATGTTAGAGAGAAAGGGAGTGGGAAAAGGAGAGAGAGAGACAGACAGACAGACAGACACATCGATCAGTTGCTTCCCATACCCACCTTGACCAGGGATCAAACCCGCAACGTGGGTATGTTGCCCTAACCAGGGATCAAATGTGTGACAGGATGACGATGCTCAACCAACTGGCAAGGGCAAGCTAACTTCTCTTGATCACCACTGGCCATGTCAGTGTCTGCATTTGGAATACATGTGAAAAGATCTAATTTGCTTTAATACTTTAGCCAGTTATGATGCCACTGGTCAAGTTAACAGAAGTATTAGCAAAAGTCAAGTGGATTCATGATTTTAAGTTTAAGTCAGCTTAATAATGAAGTACTGAAACACCCTAAAGTACTGGAGAACAAAGAAAGTTATCGTCATGTTTTCTATTTTATTTTTAAATTGCAATATATAGTTGGCAGTGATTCAGTCTAGTCATTGCCTCAGATGGTTAATGCTTACCATCATCCAGCCTGGAAGGCTTGGGTTTGGGGTTGTAACTTGAATGTCCCAAGACACCTGCATTAGACCTACTATGTTCAGGTCGCTTTGCCTGGCACTTTGCACACATCATCTCATTTACTTTTCATACGTGACCTCATATAGCTCTCCTCACAATCTTATAAATGAGAAAACTCAAAGACGTTAGGTGACTTGTCCAAGGTTACACAGCTGGTAAATGGTGGGGACAACCCAGATCTGTCTAAAGACCAAGTACTACACCAGGGTGCTCCCTAGACACTTACTAAAAAACAATTACAAATAAAATAAAACCATTTACTGGGCCTAAGTTCAAGGTAAGCCCAGTTTCTCAAAAAAAAAACAAACAAACAAAAAAACCCACCAAAAACTAATGAAATATATAGCGGTCAAGCAAAGTACCCTTTCAGAGAGAGAGAGAGAGAGAGAGAGAGAGAGAATGAGAGAAAGAAAGAAGAGCAGCTTACATTGGAAGAACAAACATCATGAAAAGCCATCCATAGAAATAAGACTCCCAATTTTCCAAGTGAATGTGGCACCTGACATTTAAAATGTACCTCTCCATACTTAAAGCTTTCTTGTGTGTTTTTTTCTTATTGATCCTTCACCCTAGGATATTTTTCCATTGATTTTTAGAGAGAGTGGAAGGGAGGGGGAAAGACACAGAGAGAAAGATCTACATGAGAGACACACTGATTGGTTGCCTCCTGCAGGCTCCCCGACCAGGGCTTGGGAGCTAGCCTGCAACCGAAGTATATGCCCTTGACCAGAAAGAGCATCAGTCTGCAGGCTGATGCTCTTTCCATTGAGCCAAACTGGCTAGGGCTCCTTTTGTGCTTTTTGTTAGGGTGAGGGGTGGCATAGAATACTACTGACACTATATAAACCACAAGGAAAACAGTCTGCAAAGAAGTAGAAACTAAGATGTAGGATTGATAGAAACATAAGCAAGGAAACAACCAAGGTAACGATGCTAGAGCCTCCAGGACCCCACATGTAGCCACAGGGAGAGGTTGTGGGGCCCAGGCATCACCGCTGCCCATGGTTTCTGCCGCTCCAGGAAGGAGTGTGTGGTTGATGTTGACACTTCACAGGTTGTCACAGGAAGGTTGGGAGATAATCACTTCCTATTAAGAGCCTATGGTAGCAGAGAATTCTGACCAATCCACTCATTAGAGAACAGAGCTCCCAACTAGCTTACCATGAAGCTTTGCTTTCTCTATGGCTATATAAAGCTTGGAAAGAGGTCTCCTCAACTGAGAGGTCTCCTCAAATATTACTCAACTGAAAATTCAAGTTTCCACCTATTCATTTTGATCATGGGACTAGAGACATAGAGAGCACAGACTCAGACATTTGGATTATGGGAACATTTCAGGCAATAGGAATCTAGTGTTAGAGTTTAGACACTGGCCCAAGCAACTGCCACACATAAACATGCACATGCACACACACACACGTGCACACTTTAGTGCTTGTCTGGGTTACTCTTATTCATACAACAAGCATCTGCTATATTTATAGGTGCCTTTTGCATGGACAGCAGTAGACCAAATACTATCCTATATAATAAAAGCATAATATGCAAATCGACCGAATGGCGGAACGACCGGTTGCTATGATGCACACTGACCAGCAAGGGGCAGGCGCTCAACGCAGGAGCTGCCCCCTGGTGGTCAGTGTGCTCCCAGAGGGGGAGCACCGCTTAGTCAGAAGGCGGGCTCACGGCTGGTGAGCGCAGTGGCG